AAAACTGCTTACTACCAAAAATCTCATTAAAAAGAATTCTAAAGAAAACAATCTTCAAAAAGAAAGAAAGTAATCCAGATGGAAAAATCTGAAATCCCTGGAGGAATGAAGAGCACATAAAGTTGGAATTGACATCAAATTCAGAGGCTCCCTGTCACCATTTTCAGCTACACTGACTAAAGAGTAGAAAACCCAGGTGATGGCAAGAGAGAAAGAAATACATTTCTAAAGGAAAGAGGAAGAAGCAAGGTCCTAACAGCATTGTACGCCCCTGGTTCCAGCTTTTCTTAAGGCCTACTGAAATCTTGTCCTTGGAAACTGGGAGATAATCCTGTGTCCTTATAGTTTGAAGTCTGCTTTTCACTTTTAAAATGTAGAAAGGAGCCCTGGCCGGTTTGGCTCAGCAGTTAGAGTGTCGGCCGGCGGTCGAGAAACCCGGGTTCAGTTCCCACTGGGGGCACGTGCCCAGTTGCGGTTTGTCCCCGGCCCGGATGGGGTCGTGTGGGTGGCAGCCAGTCAATGTCTCTCTCTCACATCGATGTTTCTCTCTTTCTCTTCCTCCCTCTCTCCCTCTCGCTCTATCTGAAGATGAATGCAAAAATGTCTTTAGGTGAGGATAAAATTTTTTAAAAAAATGTAAAAAGGAGTAAAGCCAGAAATTAATGAAATAGAGAACACAAAACAGGAAATCAAAATCAAGCATTGGTTTTTTTAATAAGGCTAAGAATATATAAAACCTCTAGCAAGACTGATGAAGGAAAAAAGAAGGCACAGAAAATATTGGGAATAAAAAAAGGGGGGTAGCCCTGGCCAGTTTTTCTCAGTGGTTAAAGCATGGGCCTGAAGACCAAAGGGTCAAGGGTTCGATTCCTGGTCAAGGATGTGTACATGGGATACAGGTTAGAACCCCAGCCTCAGTGGTCATGCAGGAGGCAACCAATCAGGGCGTCTCTCTCACATAGATGTCTCTCTCTCTCTCTCTCTTCCTCTCCATCCCTCCCTTTCTCTCTATTTAAAAATCAATGGAAAGTCCAGCCAGTATGGCTCAATGGTTGAGCGTCAACCCATGAACCAAGAGGTCGCCGGTTCAATTCCTGGTCAGGATACATGTCCAGGTTGTGGGCCTGATCCCCAGTGGGGGGCATGCAGGAGGCAGCCAATTGATGGTCTCTCTCATTGATGTTTCTATTTCTCGCTTCCTCTCTCTCTAAAGTCAATAAAGGAAAATAAAATAAAATAAAAATCAATGGAAAAATATCTTTGGGTGAGGATTATTAAAAAAGGGGGGTATTACTTAGCAGAAATTTAAGATAACAAAAGAATGCTTTGAACAGCTTTATGAGAAATACTTTAAAAACTCAGACAAAATGGATGGAATCTTACAAAAACAAAAAAAACTTTCTAAAAACTGACCTAGCTAAAAACAGAAATCATATATAAAACCTTACAGAAAATTGAATGCATACCTCTCAAAAAAATACAAATGCCCTGGCCAGTTTGGCTCAGAGGTTTAGAGTGTAAGGCCATGGACAGAAGGGTCTCGGGTTTAGTTCCCCATCAAGGGCAGGTGCCTAGGTTGCAGGTTCGATCCCTGCCCTGGTCGGGGTCATGTGGGAGGCAACCAATTGATGTGTTTCTCTCACATGGATGTTTTTCTCTCTTTCTCTCTCTCTCTCTCTCCCCCTTCCCTCCCTTCCACTATATCTAAAAAAAAAACAATGGAAAAACGTCCTTGGTTGAGGATTAACAATAACAAAAAATACTAAGCCCACATGCCTCCCCCAAAATACTAAGTCTAGACAGTTGAATAGAAGTTCAACCAAACTTTAAAGAAACAGATCATTCTAGACTTAAATAAGTCCTTTCAGAGGGGTAAAGAAAGATTAGTTCTCAACTCATTCTTTGAGGTTGGCATAATCTGGACACTAAAATTAAGTCATGGCAACATAAGAAATAAAAATTATGGGCCAATTTCACCTGTGAACATAGATGCAAAATTCCTAAATGAAATACTAATAAACTAAATCCAACTGTATAGTATAATAAAAGATTATCATGATTAATCTGGGTTCATTCTAGCAATGCAAGGGTAATTCAACATCAGAAAATCTATGTCATTCACCACATTAACATAATAAGGGAGGATAACGTTATGATCACCTTACAAATGCAGAAAAATCACCCAATAACATTCAATATTTATTCTTCACACACACACACACACACACACACACACACACACACACACACACACCTTAGCCAACTAGCAACAGAAATGTCTTTAGTCTATAAGAGTATCTATCAAAAATATCCAGCAAACATTATTAATGGTGAAACATAAGGAGCACTTTCTTTTAAAAATTAGGTGTAGCATAAGAATGTCCACTATTAACATTTGTATTGAATACTGTACTGAAAGTCCTAACTAGCCTAGTAAGGAAAGAAACAGAAATGGTGTAAGCATTGGAAAGGAATATATGATTTTCATTCTAATACCTTAATAACATATTTTAGGCCCTGGCCGGTTTGGCTCAGCGGTTAGAGCATCAGCCTGCGGTCCAGAGAGGCCCGGATTCGGTCCCCGCTAAGGGCATGTACCTCAGTTGGTTTGTCCCCAGCCCTGGTTGGTCGTGCGGGTGGCAGCCACTCAATGTGTCCTTTTCACGTTGATGTTTCTCTCTCTCTCTCCCTCCCACACTATCTGAACAAAAAATGAAAAAAAATGTCCTCAGGTGAGGATAAAAAAAACAAACAAACAAAAAACATATTTTAGTAAGGTGGCTGAACACAGATGTACATACCAGAAAAGCTTATAGCAGCAGATAGAAAATGGAAAGAAAAAATATACTATTTACAATAGTAACAAGAAATAAGGTATCTAATAATTAAATCTAAGAGAAGACTTGAGAAGTATTTATGGAGAAAAGAACACTTTACTGAAAGATATTTTAAAGTATCCAAATAACTAGAAAGATATACCATGTTTAAGGACAGAAAGGCTCAATATGATAAGAATAAATTAGCCCTGGTCAGGTGGCTCAGTTGGATGGAGTGTCGTCTCATACACCAAAAGGTTGCAGGTTCAGGTTTGATTCCCGTTCCAGAGCATGTATCTGTGTTGCAGATTCGTTTCCGTTCCCGGTCGAGGAAGTGCTTTCAGGAGGCAACAGATCAATGTTTCTCTCTGACATCAATGTTTCACTCTCTCTGTCTGCCCCTTCCTCTCTCTCTAAAATCAGTAAAAACATATCCTTGAGCGTGGATTAAAAAAAAAAAAAAAAAAAAAGAGTAAATTAAATGCATTTGTAGATTAAAAGCTACAGAGATCTTGGGCTCACATACAAGTCCCACTTTTTTTTTTTTTAATTTTTTTTTTTTTGGAGACAGAGAGGAAGGGAGAGAGAGCTAGAAACATCAATTCGAGAGAGATACATCTACCGGCTGCCTCCTGCATGCCTCCCACTGGGGATCAAGCCCACAACCCAGTCATGTGACCTGACCAGGAATCAAACCGGGACCTCTCAGTCCACGGGACAACACTCAATCCACTGAGCCACACTGTCTGGGCGATAAGTCCCACATTTTAATAAAAGCTTTTGAGAACTTGTCTGGAAGTTCTAGCAGGGGAATGGTCCTCTGCTCTATCAGGGAAGGTCATCCTCTTTGACCAAGTGCACAGCTTCTGGAGGGACACACATGAAAGGAGACACTCACCTAGCCAGCTAGATCAGCTAAATCAACCCTGGAGATCAATGGGGTAACAGTTGTTGCAGCCAGACCTCCCTCACATCCTTATAACAGCCTTTGAATTTCTGAGTAACTTGATTCAAATTACTCCCATTCATAGATATTTTTGCAATTGGCATAAACTTATTAGTCACTGGTCACAAATTTTATTTCTGTAGTAATCACAGTAATTGTAGTAATAGTTGATATGGCATTTCAGAATTGACAGCTGCAATGAACAAGAATGAGGGAAGAGCACATGATCAGCATTCAGCTGAGTTCTAGTTGAATGTGTTGTGGTCCCTCCCATTGGCTCAAAGATCAACCAAGTCCACTGGTTCACCACAATGTAAGTTCTGATAACCATTCCTGCAAGTGATAAAATATAGCCAACATAACATGTAAAGTTTTTTGGTTCTTGGCAATTCTCTGTGAACATTGCCAAAACACTATCTCCTTAAAAGCCACCTAAAAATGTAAACACCTAATCTGAATACAAATTGCTTTTACAAGAGGAAAACAGACAAAACATATTCATAATACAATAATCATTCTGGGCTCAAAGGATATTCTAGTGGACCTATGTGTAGTCCTCATACATATAACACCCTTGTACATGTGAGACCTATAAGCAGTTGCCCAGTTTGTTTTACAACAGTTCTGAACTCAATCAACTAACTTTATGATTTTCTTTAGGTTTAACTTACTCAAATTTGTTTTCGGTTTATGTAAGTTTTGTGATATCTTATATTTCTGCTTAAATTTGGCTTTAACCAAATTTCCTAAACAGTATTAGAACTAAGGATCATGTTTCACTGGTTGCTAGACGATAATACTAAGTTAATATTTATTGAATGCTTACTGTGTGCCAGGCACTATTAAAAGTGCTTTCTACATATTAAATTATTTAATCTTCACAACAACCCTATCAGGTGTACAATACTACTATCACTATTTTACAGACAGGAAAACTGAAAAGTTTAGTAACTTTCCCAATGTCACACAAATTAAGTGGAGAAATTTAGGAACTCATACCCAGGTAGTCTGTCTTCAGAGTCCTAGATGCTTAATTACTATGTTATACTTCTTTTCACAATATTTAAACGATATATAAAATTATTATGGATAAAAAAACTCACCATTAAAAAAATTATCAATAGGAGTTAAATAATAGTTAAGCAATATTAGTATCAATACAATTTATCATAGGTTGATATGTTAAAGCTATTTCAAAGATTCACAGCAATGATTAAGAGTTTTGAAGTTGGACAGACCTGTCTCTGAATCTTGGTTGTGCCCTTTACAAGCTGTGTGACTTTGGACAAGTTTCGTGACTTCACCAAGCCTCAGTTTCCTCATCTGTAAAATGAGAATAATAACATCTCACAAAATTGTTGTAACATAATTATTACTACATTACACTGATATGGTAACTCTAAACAAAGTACAAGAACACAAAATAAAAAGAGGAGATTCTCAAATTTCCCCAGAAAACAGAATTGTATTATATGACAAAGATGACCACTGCAAGTCACTGCAACTATAAGATCCACACACTAATGTAGAACCACAGTCTCCTCTAATTCATAACAAATAATTCCCCAAGATAAAAGTCAAATGCCTATAGGAAAATTACCAGGTCTTTGAATATAAAACACTATATAATCATAGAGAAAGAGACAGATAAGACATTGTTGTTTGTTAGCAACTCCCACAAATCCCATTCCACACATATCCTTTATAAGACTAGTAGTATTCAAGGGGCCCCAAACAGGAAAAGCTGTGTTAAGAAGAAGCAATTCCCAGCATTGGTAAAAAGCAATTTTTATAAGAGAAAAACAGAAAGAAATAGTTATGTCATCAAAGCAGGATAGAACTATCATTATTACTGAAGAGTGATTATGTCCATCATACCTGCCATTTTACTAGTCAAAACAAACTGTCACTATTGCTGTCTTTAGAATCTCAATTTTAAATAAATAACCACATTTCTACTAATGTCTGCATTTACCAGTAATATACCTATTCATGATAAAGTTAGGTGTTTCTTTGAAAGGGAAGATTTTAACAACACGCTATAAAAATCTTTATTGAAAAGAAAAAATAGGAATAATATTTTACAAAAAAATCCTATAGGATAATTTTGTTCAATGGCTCATCAATACTGTTATCAGGGTGAGTTTTTATGAATGTCACCAGTTCAATAATTGAGAGAAACATTGATGAGAGAAACATCAATCGTCTTCTGTAGTGCCCCAACAGGGGATCGAATCCACAACCTGGATATGTGCCCTGACCGGGAATCAAACCCATGACCCTTCGGTGCACAGGACAATGCTCTAACCAACTGAGCCACATTGGCCAGGGCATAAATAATTTTTTAAAAGTCACTAGGAAAGATGAAGAGCAGCCCAATTTTCCAGTTGGTACTAATCCTGTGTCAACAGGTTCAGGGACAAGTATTGGAAAGAAAAACATGAAACATTTTCCTTTCTTCTTTAATGGAATCTTATGCCAAAATCTAGGAATGTTTGTTTGGTTTTTCTCAATCTAACTCCTCTACTTTGTAAATAATCAAATATTTCTCCTAGATTCTATCAAAGGGTTTTCCATCAATCTCAAATTCAGAAATATTAAATTTCAAGTTTTCTTCTGTTTTAGTGGGAAATTGGTATAAGCAATATTGGGGCTGTCAACCACTCTTTTAGACCTTTAAACTATATTAATGTTCATTCTAACTAAGTCACATTATCACTCCCCTGAATTTATAATCAAGGGGCATATCTAATAAAGATATCTAATCTTTCTCAGTTGTACGAAGTCACATCACTCAAATCCTAAACAACTGTGTGTGTTTGAATCTAAGTGAAGAACATTATAATCATCACAGGTAACATTTAATCAGGCCTTAGTATGTGCCAGCTATTGTTTTATAGGACTTATGTGTATTATTATTTTTTTAATCCTCACCTGAGGATATTTTTCCACTTAGTTTCAGACAGAGTGGGAGAGTGTGAGGGAGAGAGGAAAGGAGGAAGGGAGGGAGCGGGGGGGGGGGTGGGGAGAAACATGGATGTGAGAGAGACACATCGATCGGCCACCTCTTGCATGACCCGACCAGGGCCAGGTAACAAATCGTAACCTATGTACCAGCCCTTGACCGGAATCGACCCAAGACTCTTTGGTCCACGAGCTGATGTTCTAACCGCTAAGCAAAACCAGCCAACATTGTGTATTACTTTTTTTATACTTCATAACAACCCTATATAATGAATACCATCATGACCTCCATATTTTATAGATGAAAAAATGGAGACATAAAGAGGTTTAATAATTTTCTCAGTTACATAGCTTCTAAGTGGCAGAGTTGGTGTTAAAACCCAGGTAGTTTATGCCATTAACTGTGCATATTAAACTTATTATCAAAAACAATCTTTACATATGAGTTTTAAATTCTATCTTGCTAGATTTAGCCAATGCATCCTATAGTGGGGAAAAAATTGGACTTCAATCCTGTTATCCAACATGTATGCTATTTTTCAAAGCTTTAACTATTTTTCAAATACTTTGATCAGTATTCCATGAAGGATCCAGCCAAACTATTAATAAAAATGTGACCAGGAATAATTAGCAAATCGAATCTAACAATGTATAAAAAGAATTATATACCACAACCAAGTGGGATTTTTCCCAGGCATGCAAGGCTGATTCAACATTCAAAATTATTTTATGAGCCCTGGCCGGTCTGGGTCAGCTGTTGAAGCATTGGCCTGCGGACCAGAGAATCCCAGGTTCGGTTCCCACTAGGGGCATGTACTAAAAAAAAATAATAATAATAATTTTATGTAATCCATCACATTAACAAGTTAAAAAAGAAAAATCACATGATCATATCAATACAGAAAAAAGCATACGACAAAAGCCAACACTCATTCATAATAAAAACTCTCAGCAAACTAAGAATAGAGGGGAATTTCCTCAATTTGATAAAGAATATCTACAAAAACGTACAGCTAACATCATACTTAATGGTGAGAAACTAGAAGCCTTCCCGATAAGATCAAGAACATGCGAAAATGTTTCATCATTCCTTTTTAACATCATAATGGAAGCCCTAGCTAATGGAACATGACGAAAAAAGTAAATAAAAGGTATAAAGATTGGGAAGGTAGAAATAAAACTGTCTTTATTCACAAAGGTGACATGGTCGGTCTACACAGAAATTCCAAAAGAACTGATAAGACAAAACTAAAAAACCTCCTGGAACTAATAAGTAATTATAGCAATGTTGCCGGATATAAGGTTAATATACAAAAGTCAATCATTTTCCTATACACCAGCAAAGAACAAGTGGAACTTGAAATTAAAAAACAATACATTTAGCCCTGGCCGGTTTGGCTCAGCGGTTAGAGCGTCGGCCTGCGGTCCGGAGAGACCCGGGTTCGGTTCCCGCTAAGGGCATGTACCTTGGTTGCAGTTTGTCCCCGGCCCTGGTTGGGTCGTGCGAGTGGCAGCCACTCGATGTGTCGCTTTCACGTCGATGTTTCTCTCTCTCTCTCTCTCTCCCTCCCACTCTATCTAAACAAAATATCGAAAAATGTCCTCGGGTGAGGATAAAAAAAAAAACAACAAAAAAAACACAATACATTTATATTAGCACCTAAAAAGTTAAATTATTTAGGTAAAATTTTGGGCAAATTTAACAAAATATGTACAAGATCTATATTAGAAATTACAAAACTTTGATGAACAAAATCAAAGAAGAACTAAGTAAATGGAGAGATATTTTGTGTTTATGGATAGGAAGACTCAATATTGTTGAGATACCAATTCTTCTCTACTTGCTCTACAGATTCAATACAATTCTACTCAAAATCCCAGTAAGTTATTTTGTGGGTACTAACAAACTCATTCTAAAATTTAAAGACCCACATAAATATAATTAACTGATCTTTAACAAAAGAACAAAAGCAATACAATGGGGAGGGGAGAGAAAAACAAAACCACCTTTTCACAAATGGTACTGGAACAACCCACTTGCCAAAAAACAAAAAAGGAATTTAGACAGGCTTTACACCCTTCACAGAAATTAACTCAAAATGATCATAGGCCTAAAAGTAAAATGAAAAATTATAAAACTGCTAAAAGATAATATAGAAAAAAAATCTAGGTGACTTTGAGTATGATAATAATATTTCAAATATGAGACCAAAGGCATAATCTGTGAACAAAATAACTGATAAGCTGGATTTGATTAAATTTAAAAACTACTGCTCTGCATAAGACTGTCAAATGAATGAGAATATAAGTCACAGAATGGGGAAAAATATTTGCAAAAGATAAACCTAATTTTTTAAAAACTGCTATTCAAAGTACACAAAGAACTCTTAAAACAACTATTTTTTAAGAAGGAGCAAAAGGCTTGGAAGAGCTATCTTAGCAAAGATATACAGATGGCAAATAAGCATATGAGAAGATGTTCAAAGGAAACTGGAAATTAAAAAGACGAGATAACACTACACACCTTTTAGAATGACCAAAATTCAGAACACTGAAAACATCAAATTCTGGCAGAGATGAGGACCAATGGTAACTTTCATTCATTATTAGTGGGAATGTAAAATGGTATAGACATTTTAGAAGACAAAACTAAACATACTCTTATTATACAATACAGCAATCCCCTCCCATTCCTCAAAGGAGTTGAAAACATTTATCCACACAAAAACTACACATGGTTGTTTATAACAGATCAATTCATAATTAACAAAACTTGGAAGTAACCAAGATGTCATTCAGTAGGTGAATGGATAAACTGTGATATATCCACAGAATGGAATATTATTCAGCACTAAAAAGAAATGAGCTATCAAGCCATGAAAAGACATAGTAAACCTTAAATGTATACGACTAAATGAAAGGTCATTCTGAAAAGACTACATAGTATATGATTCCAACTCTATGACGTTCCAGACATACACATCAGGAAGCACAGAGTCCCAAACAAGATGAACCCAAAGAGACCCACACCAAGACACATCAAAATGCAAAAGGTTAAAGGCAAAGAGACAATTTTAAAAGCAGCATGAGAGCTCTGGCCGGTTTGGCTCAGCGGTTGGAGCGTCAACCTGCGGTACAGAGAGACCCGGGTTCGGTTCCCGCTAAGGGCACATACCTCGGTTGCAGTTTGTCCCCGGCCCTGGTTGGTCATGCGGGTGGCAGCCACTCGATGTGTCCCTTCACATCGATGTTTCTCTCTCTCTCTCTACCTCTCTCTCCCTCCCGCTCTATCTAAACAAAAAATGGAAAAATGTCCTCGGGTGAGGATTAAAAATAAATAAATAAATAAATTTTAAAAA